CATTTACTATTTTCTACAAATTAGAGCAGCAACATATAAACCTATCTAGTACAAATGCAGCACAGAATGTACATTAGATTCTATATTATAATTCAATATATATAATAATTTTTTAAATATATTTGTCTGATAGAATAATATGGGTATCCATACATGTATATGGACATATTTTTTTTTTATAAAAGTCATAAACTCTTAATGAATATACAAGCCGGTTTTGTTCTTGTTTGTGACTATGTGTGCTCCAGGAAAGTAATTGTAAACACATGGTTCTTAGCATCATAGTCATTATGCCTCATCACCAATGTTTTTGTCATGTAACCTAGTAAACACATTGTCGTAAATTGTACGAAATACTGTCAATGTCATCAAATTTGCACTGCATAGAATACTATATATATTTGTAATCTCAAGTACATTCAAGCACACACCCACACTTGCATGGTTGGTATCTTGTCCTTGTATAGTATTTCATGTATGTGCAAAATTTGAATAAAAACACAAATTGACTATCAATGCTAGATTACTTATACATATTAAAACAGACCAAGCCATTACAAGGATTGTCAGTTGCAAATTACACCAAACCAGATCACTGCAATCTTCATTACAGATATAGATACTAAGGAAAACTCACTACAAATCCCAATATTACACAGGAAAATATTCCCTAGTTTTCCATATAGTTTTTCTGCTCTTCTAGTTTCTGTATAGCACCAATGTAATAAAGACTGGGGTAAATACTCTTCTTAGAATTCATCATGACCCTGTAGTTATAAAGTCAGAAAAACAAAACAAGATAAGTTGAGTTAATGATTTTCCTGATACTGTTTATTCATTATTCAGTTGAGTTGAATTTCGGAGCACCACATGTACATTTTACATACACTGTATTATTTAGATGATTTATTTTATACATAGTGAATTTGAATACTGTAGAATACTTTATTTTCGCTTGGAATTTATTTCCGCTATTTTCGCTGAAGGGATGATTCCGTGAAAATAAAATCCAGCGAATATACTTTTTTTCCTATACTTCCTATTAAACTCATGAAAAATCAGTGAAAATAAATTCCAAGCAAAACGCCCAAAAAGCTTTTTCAGCGAAAATTAATTCCAGCGAAAATAAAGTATTCCACAGTATATATATATATACCGTATTTATCCGGCTAAGAGCCCATGCCCGGACAAACGCCCCCCCCCCCCCCACTTTTGATAAAATAAAGGAGTTTAGGTCATATCCTAGCAAACGCACAGGGGTGTTTTTTCTACACCTGTGATAAAATAAAAAAACAAAAACCTATTTTTGTTCGTTGTATTAACAGTTTTAATACTTCCTTGCAGTCTGTTGTAATGCTGATAACAAAATTTGAAAAATAAATGTCAATTGCATAAAATGAAGAGTAAACGCGAAATAGCTGTGACATAAATAGAGCAGCGCGTTCACCACAGTTTACGTAGTTTACATTTATTTTTTCAAGATTTTTTTTATCAGAAACGTAACAGCCAGCGAGTCAAAAAAATGTATGTTAAAGGAGAAACGGTAGTTCTTTTTTTGAAATATGTCGTGGCCCTGAAAAGGACCGTTAGGTTTGTGTTTCCTTATAGAAACGATTCAAGCAAATCTTACAGGATATAGAGAGCCACGAAGCAAGTGTCGCACTCGTTCGGCTTTAGCATCGCCGACAATGAAACCAATGTTGCAATATTGTAGCAACCCGTACCTGGGAGACAGGTTTAAAGCACGTTGTTTTGGCTTTATAAAATATTTGCGAATCCATAACTGGGGCCAGCAATTTTGCAATGTCATGCCGAAGACTGCCAACTTTTTTACCATCTTTCACCACAGCTATTGCATTTCATGGAAATTATTCTTCTGTCGTTGGAAATAAAAATCTTCTTTTTTCAAGTCCACCGCGATATCCATATAACTTGCTGAATGGTAACTTTCACCATGATTGATGAACGAACACCTAGTCTGATAAAAAAGCGATGTTGAATTTACCTCTATGATGAAACACTAGTAGTGATGTCATTCTTAGCCAATCGGTAAAGCGGATGCTTAAAGGTCAAAGATGGTTGCCAGATGGTAAACAAAAGCATCGTGCGAGCCGTTTGCTGCGACCCAATTTTTCTTGTCTCTTTATTCTGATTAGACGTGAATTAAAAGTGCCAAGCTACCAGACAGCGAAATCCGTGGATTAAATGTGCTAAGTCCAAATTGTGTGGGACGACATCGACAAATTTCAAGACGAAGCTATAGGGATTTTGTTCAATCACGACAGTGGTGTCGACTTGGAATTTCAGGGTTTTGACTTTTAAGAAGATAGCAATGAATGTACAAATAGAGATCTTAGATGGAGTTTTTTTCTAACAACTATGACCTTTCGTAATTTTACTGCGTAAATTATTATTGATATTGTATGGCTGTTGATCCGGTATTTGTCAAAACCGGAAATAATTCACGCGTATGAGGCAGCATGTTTGTCGACAGGGATATTTTAATTCAAATGAATCTTCACTGTCGATTTTTATTATTTCTGGTTTTAATATTTGTCACATTCTAAGCAATAAATTATTTCTTGTTACACTTCTAATGCTGCATATTGTTTATTTATTTTTGTTGCATGTTTTTATTTGCCGTTTTACTCCCTGTCGCAGTTCGATCTGCGTGTTGCCAATTTTCGTGATTTTTTGGGTTTTTTTGCCGAGGATATCCGGACAAACGCCTACCCCTTCTTTTTGGCGATTTTCCATGTTCAGGACCATGGGCTTATACCCGGATAAATACGGTACATCATGCTCTTCTGTTGTTACATGTACATTGTATATCAAAGTAACAGAAATAGTGAGCTGAGTAGAAAGTCACCTCCTTTGGACTACGAACACAACTTTCGATTCCCGACTACCTTGTAACAGGCAAGAGAAGGACAAAAATATAATAAGTCATTGTCAATGACACGTCCCCGTTCCGTTCATATTTGAGTGACATATACATTCAAAGCAGATCATGACCGAAATCTCAGACCACTTTCAGTGGTCTGATCCGAAATGCACCTGCATATGTACAACACATTGTACTAAATCTGAACAAAATCCATCCATGCATGACTGAGATCCGGTTCCGGAATTGTGAAAATACGTGATTTTGATGCATTTTCAGCCTTAAAATGGCCATCATTCAGCTATTGTTAAGCGGATCATGAAACAAATGCACATATCTATTTGTGACATGATGTACCATGTGTGTGTGAAGTTTGAACTTGATCAATCCAGACATGACTCGGATACGGATCCAGAACTGAATTCTTTAAAACAAAATGGCTGCACGTCGGCCATTTTGAACTAGATCCGGAAAAAAAATGACGTGCATCAAGGTTCTATTATGTTTAATGTATGTACCAAATTTGAACAAAATTCGTCCATGCATAACTGAGATCCGGGACTGGAATGGTGAAAATATGCGTTTTCAATGCATTTTCGGCCTTAAAGCGGCCACCATTTGGCTATCGTTAATGAGATCATAAAACAAATGCACATACATATTTGTGACATGATGTACCTTGTGTGTGTGAAGTTTGAACTCGATCAATCCAGGCATGTCTCAGATACGGATCCAGAACTGAATTTTTTAAAACAAATTGGCCGCCAGTCGGCCATTTCAAACCCGATCCAAAAAAAAATGATGTGCATCAAGGTCCTATTATATTTAATGTATGTACCAAATTTAAACAAAATCCGTCCATGCATAACTGAGATCCGGGTCCGGAATGGTGAAAATGAGCAATTTTGATGCATTTTTGGCCTTAAAATGGCCGCTATTCGGCTATCGTTAAACAGATCATGAAAAAAATGTATGTGCATATGTCCAATATAATGTGTCATGTATGAGTGAAGTTTGAACTTAATCGGTCCATGCATGTTCGAGATACAGGTGATCATGGACGCATGGACTCACGGATGCACAGAGGGCAAAACATAAGTCCCTGGGGAGTAAAAAGTCAAAAGAGCACCGATAGACAAGCAATCGAAAAAAGTCAGTGGTATATTTCAAACAAGTTTTTAAAGATAGCAGAGTGAATGTGGGTGGGTAAAACGAGGGCAGCTAAGATAACTATTTAAGACAGCTGAGAAATGTGGATTTTGAGTTGAAAAAGATGATTTTGCAGTGAAAATGGACCTGAAATAGAGATGGTACATGTGTGTGTGTTTCACAGAGTAAAATACGATCGTGACATAGTTGTTCAACTCCCAAAATACCCGCAAAAAAATATGAAAATATTACGCTATAGCCAAAGATAATTTGCATGCTTGTTATTCTTGCTTAGGCAAAATAGTGTGCACATTTTCAGAGCTTGGTACGAGTTAGTTTTAAGATAATGGCAGTTTTATTTCAGGGGAACTTTTACGTTGCGTGTTAGAAACAGTGATGTTTGGTGTGCTGCGACTCGTGTGTGTTCGGAACATTAAAAATCTGTCCTACCTTCCGGTTAGTTGACCCCAGGTCAGGCAATATGCGCAAGTGCACAAAAGATGAACGTGCAAACGCTATCAATTCAGGAACCCCCAATTCACTAAATTTGACAATTAGATGTTGTGACATAAATCAACTTTCATTGCTATGAAAGAAAACAATTGACTGTGTACTAAGTTTAGACACAACTTGACAGTGTGACGTTGCAAAAATGTGAAGATTTTCATGAATTAAAATAGCTGCCATCCAGAAATCTAAATTGTGACACAAGTCAACTTGCAGCAGTGTGAAACAATGTCTATTTTAAGTTTGAATACAAAATTACCGATACAATTTATATCATAGCTTTTGATGTACAAATTGGCCAACAGAATCAGTCTGTGCAACTCAGAGAAACTGCTTTTAACACATAAAGGTAGTTGTTTTAAACCATTTTTTTTATATGATTGAATAAAGAAAGTAAGGAGCATATCTACAGTACCGGTACCAGTATATCAAATACGTATAAAGTTCAAAATTTTGACATTCATTTACATACCGATGAAAAACGATGACATATACATTTCATTTTATCTTCAGGTTGGTGAACTTCCTCCATGCCTGCATGGATCTTGGGTTTTCTGTTTAACCTTGCAGCATATTCCTTGCAGAAAATGAACAAAATAGTTAACTCAATGACAGTTGTTCATAACAGCTAAAGTATGCAGAGGGTGTATGGAAATGATATACTGTAAAATGACTAATTTTCACTGGGCTTAAATTTCGCTGATTTACCATTTCATGCATATTCAGTGGGTTTTAAATTCACGGTATTTTCATTTAGATAATGTGTTCTATGCTAAATTTTACATATTCATTGGGTTTTAATTTAGCGCATTTTCGGATCAACGAAATAAGCAAAATTAAAACCCAGTGAATAATTAACCCCTTTACAGTACATATCTGCTGATATCTGCTGATGTTCTTACCTTGAATAGTTTATAATGATAACAATACAAATCATTAGACATAAGGTTTTCTCTTGCGTATTGCTGTGCATTTTGAGAAATCTTGTGTGCCTGTAAAGTAACAAGATCAGGTCATGGTATGTTTTTTTTTAATTTTCAAAAAGTAAAAACCATGTCATTGTAGAATGTAATCAGGATGTACTTCTATTCAAGACAAGCCACTGAGAATGGTGCTCCCCAAAAATATATGAACACAAAAAAATACAATGTACATGAGGCGCTAAGCCAATGTGCAATTCTGGTGACTTGATATGTAAAAACAGTTACCAAATGAACAGAGCTATACTTACTTCTTTATCGTGTGATTTAGCCCATTGTAGTTTTTCTACAAGATCACTGAGATCTAACTTGAATGGTATATAATGCACCCATGGTTGCAGGTCACCATAGTAATGTTCATAATACGGAGATTCATGTTTGAAAACCACTGCATCACTGATAAGCAAGTATGGGAAACGATATGCTGCTACGGTGCCATCAAGGTTAATCTGGTACTTAAACTATGTGGCAAAACATGAAATAATATCATGGACAGTTGAAAAGAGAAGCTTATTTGGATGTACACAAAAAAAATGATTATTTTAATACAATGAAGTATGGTATTGAGCAACACAATCCTCAATGCAACCATGAACTGTAAAATGCTTTAGCTGTAACTAATTTTCGCTGAAAAAACATTTTGGTTTTTTCGTAATTTTTTTGCTGGATTCATCACATCGGCGAAAACAAATTCCAAGTGCAATTAAAAAAGTAATTTACAGTAGTATCCGTAGTATGCTACGCTCTTCTAAAAACATTCCTAAATATAAAATTTAACTAAGCTTTGCATATTATCCAATAAGATTATCATAACAGAAATACATTAGCATTCCTACCTTGAAGAAATCAAAGAATGAAATATGAGGTATTTTAGGTCCATATTCCTCCATTTCATCTCTAAAGAAAAAGAAGTTTGTCAATGCAGCATCAATAAGATCAGGATGCTTCCGTCCAAGTTTGATCAAATTCAGTCTTTCTCTTCGGCTGTCACGCCCTCTAAAGAAACCTTTTTCTGTTTTGTTCTCCCATCTAGGACCAGTATTGCCTTGTACTGAGAGCATATCTAAGGTCACTCTGAAACAAAAGAGAATTGAAACACAATTGTTAAACCTGATACTGGTTAATTATTTGGGGTTAATTCCTGTTGAAAATATAAGATTAAAACCTGCAGGTAATGGAAAATTATGTACATTTGGCGAAAAATTCACTTAATTTAAAAAATTTAGCTTTGTAGACAATATTCAAATCTGTCAAAAAAGAAAACGATGTGATATCTAATGCCAAGACAGACTTTTATAAATTTACATGCACAAAAATGATGATAATAAATTAAACAAGCAGCCTCTCGGCTGAGATAGCTCCGCTGTTAGCAATGCACATTTCAATTGAAGAACAGAAGTTTTAAACAAGAATTCAAAAATATCATTTTTCACCATAAATGATTGTGGTTTTTAACAAGAAAATATCACTTTTTACCAAAAATGACAAAAATATTCACCAAAATTAGAAAATTAAAGATATCATTATGAAATGAACAAATTTGAGAGTGGACCACATGTAGTACCTATATATGTAATATCAAAGCAATTGGACTTGCGC